CGGTTGAGCCTCAGCCGCCCCGGGGAGCGGGGGGGGCTGTGGGCACGCAGGTCCCGCAGCCGTGTGAGGCGGCGCGAAATGGCCGCCGAGGGCACCATCTGGCATCCCTGGGCAGTGGTGAGCAAAGGGCAGGTGGTCTCTGTGGCCACTTGTAGCCATCATGTTTTCAGGTAATTTTATCAACCTTATCTGCCTGTCCCCACATTACTGCAGATAAGAAGAGTGTGGAATCCCGCACGGATCACGTCTTGGAAATTGGTGCCAGATGCCTGAAGATAGTCATCCAGTCGGGAGAAGGGGATCTGAGCAAGAGCCAGTTTGCGGAGCAGACCCCCTCCAGCTACTCCGTCCCTTCCAGCTCTTCCCCACCTCAGCAGGAGCAGCAGGCAGCCAAAGGCCATGGAGACATCGCAAGAGAAGTCATTACCAAAAAGGTACCTCAAGGGAGAGCAGTAACAAGCAATGTCACGACCTGCCCCTCTTGTACCTCCACAAGTCCTTTACATTCTTTATGTTGCACTGCAATATTTCATGCCAAGCAAATGTCAGTTACATTATCTTAGTTGATAAAATGAGGGCAAGGAGCAACTTTTGACTGCTGGACCACAGGTCATCCACGCATGTTAACAGGCAGCGTGTTCTCCAGCATGGCTTTGGCACCTCCCCGAAGCGGCACCCTGGCAGGTTTCGGGGGATAGTATGCACCAAGGACTGCTCCCAAAAGGTGGAAAAAATTGTGTGAGGTTTGGATCCGTTCCTGCTACGCAGACCTCTAACACTATTTCAGCATGTTTTGCCCCTTCAAACAGCCCTAATTGCTTCCATCCCTTACCTCAGTGTTAAAAAAAATCTGCTCTGATGGGATGTAGTGCAACAAGCATATTTCAGACATTTTGAGCTAAAAGTTATGCAGAGAAGAAAAGATCAACTGTGTGTTAGGGACATGGGGTAGGGCCAGGCTACATGTTATATGATGTGGATATGGCTCTATCGAGACACAGATATCTGGCCCAGAGCGTTTACTCCATTTTGTATAGTAGCATAGATGTAGCTTTTGAGCTTTTTTGAGCTTTTGTTAGCATGTGCTAACATAGTGGTTGTCTGTCATCTGTAACAGTATACTGCAAATTTCCCTATCCTTCTGTCTGTGCGAAGTAGAGATGTTTGTTTTTCAGAATCCTGTTTTCTGCCTTAATCCTGAGTTACTAAAGCATGACTTTTGGGAAGTTTTTAAAGAAAGATAGTAGAGAAAACTAGAAAGTCTAATATAATTAAAGAACAATGTAATATAACTTATATGTGCTGTTAAAACATGTTGTGTCTCTGTCACCCGACACTAAGGGGACAGACAGGTTCTTTTGGGGATCCTTGGTAGAATGATAATGGCACTAAGTTGTAGTTCCAATTAAGGCTTTATTTTTTTTAAACAGGATTTTATGATTAGCATAGCATAGAATTAATGATCAGAATAGCACTGGATTTCTGCAAGCAGAATCAGCAAAGTGCAGTTTTATACACAGCATAGCACAGAATTTTATAGCACAGCTTAGCTTATGTTTTCTAATCACATGGACCTTCTGTAGATCAGGTCAAATCTTAATATTTGGCTTGCCCTATCAATATAACAACCATAATCTAAACTCAAAAAATGAAGAAGAATACGTGTCATTCACTCAGTCCTCAGATGAAGCAGAGGAGAGTGGAGGTGCCCCCGGCCAGTGGAGCATCACGGGTTTTACTGTCCAGCAGCAGTTGGGGTCCAAGTTCCCGCTTAGGTGTAACTGCTTGATTTTATATGCAGTTCTCTGTGTGCTGTTATGTTTCCTTGTTCTGTGATGTGGTCATCACCACCTGGTTGGCGGGGTGCCTGGGACCTTCAAGGCCGCTAAGGAGGGGAGTAGTTGGCCTGGGGCCTAGGAATGTTGAGGATGATAGGGAGGGGAAGAAGAAATCTGTTTGCTTCGTCTACTTGGTGTGCAGGACCTTCAGGGCCTGATAATGAGGGGAAAAGGGACTAATACGTGACCAGCTCGGTCACAGAGAATGGCTGTTTGCCTTGTAAAATGGCGTTAGTTATGCTAACTATATCACCAGAGGTCGGAGGTAACAGACTAGAGGACTGGTCACGGTCTCAAACCGTGAGTTTGAGAGGCAAAGTTACTGTCTTTGTTCCTGTAATGCTGATGACATTAACAAATTTCATTTTTGCTGCTGACTTAGAAGCCGGTTTCTTTACCTAAGTGTGTGTAATGTCAGTATACATGACATAAAAGAAACACTGTGTGCAAATGTGTCTATAGTGATCTGGCCCTACTGAGATGTACAGAGCTTCTCCTTACTCCAAATATAGAAGCAGCAAGCAGAGGACCTTAGAAAAAAAGCCAAATATTGATATCTTCTTGTCTTCTCTTTAGATATTTCTTACAGTATCTGCAACTTTGAATACCAATATGTTCACTGAACAGCAAAGGGAGAAAATTACCATTATATGTCCAAATTTAAAAAGAGAAGGAAATCCTGATATAGATGGCTCTGAGAAATTGACAGGAGATTTTACAGATATTGAAAAAGCTTATCACTACTTTGAGGACATCCTTGCAGGCAATGACCCAAACCATGATATTTCACATTCTGAAAGTAAGAATGGTTTGAAAGGTGAAAATGGTCTGAATACTGAAGAAATGAATGAGCTTACAGTTCCGTCAGCTCTCTATGAATATTTCAGTCATACCTGCAAAGAACAAATCAACGTACTACATGAACGTTTCAGAGTACGTATAAAAAGTAAAGATAATTACAATGGAACCACATCAATATGCTTCACTTCTGATAAATGTCCTACATCAATACAGGGAGCTAATGATTTTTTCATCAGAATTTTTCAGAAAAGTGTAGAAGATCTGAAACAGGAAAAAATTCCTGTAACAAACAGTTACACATTAAGTGAAACAATAATGAAATTAAACGCTAAGTTTAGTAATCTTCTTGCCAAAGAGGAAGGGGATCAGTTGCTACTCCGTGGTCCAGCAAGTGAGATTGTATCTGCCAAAATATTTCTAGCAGAGGAAGGTGAGGACAGCCAAGCTGAAAAGAACATGAAAATATCATCTGAACTGTACAAATACAGGAATGGAATTGAAGTTGATGCTTCTGTGTTTAAATTGTTGGAAACAATATTAAGCAAAGAAATTGAAGACATTAAAGACAAATTTGATACAGTAATAGAAAAGAAAGACAGTTCATATGGCCAGAAGATACTCATAATATTTAGGCCTAGGATCAAAACTTCTGATATGTCCTCACATGCTACTGAAAGTTTCATCAATGCATTTCAGAATGCCTCTGCAATGTTAAGAGAAAACCTCATCAGTGTGAAGCTTTCAGAAGATCAGAAGAAAAGGTTAAATATGCTACTTAATGGAAAACAACTGGAAGATCTGCATGTAAAACTTAAGAAAAAGGAAGACAAATTAATCTTAAGTGGTTTACCAAACCATCTTCATGCTGCTGAAAAGCACATTATGAACCTTCTTAACATTGAAGACTCAATACAAACTAAAAATAGGACACCACTGTCCTCTGATCTCAGCTGTCAAGAAGCTACAGGAGCATCTGAGAAGAAATACAATGGCAGGCAAAAAAAGAATCTTTCTGCTGAAGGACAGTCTAAGGCAAAGACAGAAGAAGACGACAAAGATGTGTGTCCGATTTGCATGGAGAGAATTAATAATAAAGAAATACTGAGAAAGTGCAATCATGCGTTTTGCAAAAGTTGCATCGACCAGGCCATGACTTACAAGCAAATGTGTCCTGTGTGTAATACCGTCTATGGAGTCATGAAAGGAGACCAACCAGAGGGAACAATGACAACTAGAATGGTGTCTTCCTCTCTCCCTGGTTATCCCAATTGTCATACTATTGAGATTACATACAGTATGCACAATGGTATTCAAACTGTAAGTATATTTAAAGATTTATAAAAGATATTTTTCACACAAAAAACCCCAACATTGAATATAAAATTAACTATTTTTCCATCATTTTAATCATGTCCAGGAGAGACATTTCTTTGTTCTGTATAAATCTGCAAGTATTTAATTCAGTATTTTTGGGTGCTTTTAAGTAATAAATTAGAATTAAATAGTCAAATGGTAGCCCTCCATTTTATATGCACCAGGACAGAGCTACCTGTCTTTAATTTGTACATTGGGAATAACTGAACTGAAATGTATGGGGTGATACTGTGTAAACAAAATTTTGTGACTATAATGAGTATTCTCTGAGGCGTTGTCCTTGCTGCTGACACTAGTGGACAAAAATGGATAGTGGGCTGGCTTGTAAACTTCCCAGGTGAGAAATCATCTTATGTTATGAGAGTCATGGCTAGGACTGAAAGTGGGATAAATGAAAAAGTCAGGGGTGGGGTGACATGCATTTGGGAGAACAAAGAGGAAAAAACAAATTTAACAATGGATGCATGAGTGATAACAAAGTGAGAATAAAACTTATGTGAAATAAATTGTCTAATAAGAAAAAAAGACCTCAAAATCAGTCATCAGTCATGCTATGTCCTTCTGAAGCAACAACAGGATAAAAAGTGTTGTGAAAGCTGCGATGTGTGATTTTCACAATCTGAAAGCATTTATCATATACAGTGTGGTTTTGTTTTGTTTTATTTTGTTTTTCTACAAAACAGAGCAACCATCCAAACCCAGGGAAACCTTATTGTGCAACTTCTCGAACAGCTTATTTACCTGACAATAAAGAAGGGCGAGAAATTCTGCAGCTCCTCAGAAGAGCCTTTAGCCAAAAATTGATTTTCACAGTGGGGCAGTCACGTACTACTGGTGCACAAGGTGTTATCACATGGAATGATATCCACCACAAAACATCCATGACTGGAGGACCTACCAAGTAAGTAGTCTTCTCTTTATGTAAGTGTATTGCTACTCAGATGTGTCAGGAAGGCTACCCTGAATATTTTCCACATGAGAGTTTTCAGACTTTGTTACTAACAAAGTGATTGTGGAATGCTCTATGGATCCAGGCTTGAATCACCTTCACCAATTTGGACAGTTGAACAAGGATGAGCTTAGTCTTCGGTTGCCCCTCAGGCCACTCATTCACCAGTGACTTGTGTAAAGCACCTACTCAGTTAATAACTGCTCTGATTAGAAACCTACTTCTAGAACAGGACAGGACAGCAAGCTCTTTGATAGCAGCTAAGGTTGGACTCCTGATCTCAGCCTCCTCTGTTACCTGCTGTTTTGCACCAGGATGTCCTGGTCCATTATGATCCTGGTAAAGACAACACTCAGACTCTGTAAAGTATGATTTGAGATTCTACTTATTAGAGCTAACATCAAGAAGAAAGGGATTGTGGTATAGATACAGTTATGTGCTTTTAGATGCTACGAACCCCGAGTTGTGCAGCATTCAGCAGGCCTCCGATTGGAGCGCAGGACAGCATGCTGACCCCGTCTATAGAAAAGGTTACCCCATTTTGGTTGTTCAAGCAGTTCTGGGATCTTCTTAGTAGAAGACAACTCTATGCAGCATTTCTTGAGGACTTGCTGCGCTCCTAGACAAAGGCAAGGACACGCAGGTGGCATAATCACCTGTACCGAGTGGGAGCTGCCCGCAGCACCTCTCTTAGAGTGAGCTGTCTGAGTCTGTCACGTGGGCACGGGATGTGCACAGCACAACGCATGGCATGGGCCTGCGCCTTCCCCAGTTAACTGTTATGTGGATCACCAATTCCTCAATGTATAATGGTCTTCTGGCCAGGATCACTATGTTCCACCCCCATACAATTGACCTTTCTTAAAGATATGAATAATTACATATTATATTGGTAAATTGTTTGACTCCTGGAAAAAATCTTAGAGATAAGAGGGAGGCTTGGAACAGTCCTTTCAAGCTTGTTGCAGCCTCTCAGGGGCAGATGTCTTCCTGCAGGCTCTGAAGGTTGGTGTCTAGACCCTCCTTCCTGGGCTAGTGTGGTGGGTTGACCCTGACTGGACCCCAG